AATCAGAGGTAAAAAACAATATAAATACTGTTCAGTTTCTTGCACGGACCGATCGTTTTGTGTCTTTTCACATCAGTGTATCATCACGAGCCGCAGGGTTTCATTTGGTTTTGTTTGTGTATGTTTTTTGACTCTCAAAGACGTGATTCCCATCCACTTGCATTATAAGACTGACAGACTGCAACGGTTTGTGTTCTACTGAAGAAACAAAGTCACCTACATCTTGGATGTCCTGGGGGTAAGCAGATAAACATCAAATTTTCATTTTTGGGTGAACTATCCCTTTAAGTAAATTTTTGAGAGAACTGTCCCTTTAAGCTGGTCTAAGATGGTCTCCCAGCATGGCAAAGCTTGTCTTTAGTTAGTCTGACAAAAGCCCAAAATAGCTCTAAAACCAGGCAAAAAAAGGGTCTGCAAACCAGCTTAAGCCGGTTTCACATGTATTTTTTCCATCATTGATATTGTTTAAATAACATTCAGACTAATTTAATAATGCTTTCAGTTACCGATAGATTGTAGTACTCTAAGCTCTATTTAACATATTTTAGCATATTTAAAACTTTTCTGCAGAATTGTGCTGATTTTCTCCCACAATCAGTGCTGAAAACATGACAAAAATGTGCTGATTTCCACCGAGAGTGATCCGAGAAAGTCATACGGGTTTGGAATGTCATGAAATTAAAGGGATAGTTCACCCAAAAATGCGTCTTCTTCTTCAGCCGGCGCCTGACGCGTCTTCTTCTTCTTCTTGCTTTACGGCGGATCGCAGACTCGAGAGTGATCCAAGAGCAAAACAAGATGATTAACAGAGATGATTAGTACACTAATGGAGGCTATTAAGGAGAGAAATAGAGAGAGAGAGCAGCAGAATGAGAAGAGGTTGGGGATCTGAAGGGGAAAAGGCATTTAAAATGGACAGAGATGATGTACAAGTAACTACAAATGCAATGTCATCTGTGCGTCCACAGAGCTTGGGTCGGCTGGATTAAGATAAATCTTTTCATAACTCTGAGGTCTCAATGAGGTACTTACAAACACAGCACATGTATGCTTGAGCTCACTTTCACCAATGTGACACTGGATTGACACTAATGCACTCACTCACTCACTCACTCACTCACTAAGACATCTATCATTTCAACATCCTCCCTCTCTTCCCTTCATTCTCTTCTTACTTTTTATGCGTATCATATTTCTTAGCAATATTAAAACCCAATGACACCCATAGTCAGCATGAGTTGGTGCATTATGGGCAGTGTACTCGTTGACGTGCTCGGGTTTGTGTGTGTCTGTGTGAGAAAGAATTATGGAGGGTGCACTTGTGACTCCACACAGAAAATGGATGCTCTTTGTTAGGGAGCCATAATTCATAGTGCTATAATTGATTGGGGAGTGTGAGGATTTACAACCAGAAAGAAGGAAAGAAATAAAAGAGAAACTGCTGATAGAGACAGAAAGAGAACACAGAGTGAAATAGAAAAAAGGAAGCGAATGTATCTAAATAGGACATGATAATGATCTCTCATCTCCTCTGTCATATTTTCCATGTGAAGTGCGAATGAGCTCCCCAGTGAGTCACTTTAACACTGTTTTTCCCCCCTATCTGATTAAATCAGATTTGGATTGAATAAGACAATGTCCCTAGATAATGCTATCAATGACAGAGCTCGCCTTAACTCTGCAAAAAGCAGTGTTTTAAGCTGATTCTTGTAACCAAGAAGGATCTATACCAGGACACAGTGGGTAGAGCATATACTCCCGAAATACATAAAAGCCTTTGTGCTTGCAGGGATGGAAGTCTGAATGAGGCCTGTGTCATGGCCAATGCCGGACTCCCTCTCTGTTTCTGTCTTCACAATTCTGAGTCACAGATCGGACCTTCAGTCCATGGCATCAAAACCTTTGAAATTCCCTGATTCAGTCCTGTCCACAGGTACATGTGCAATATTTGTTTAATCTAATAAAGATCTGTCACGCTTATTTGGATTTTACAAAATTACCTTTAAAATACAGTATCCTGAAAAAGGGACATTTATTTATTTATGCATGCTGTTAAACACACACACACACACACACACACTTTGACATTTCTGTAATAACTGACAGATCACAGCTTGAATTCTGGTTGAGAAAAAATATAAAGAGGAGAATCTTTCATGATCTTTCATGATTTATAGAATGTACATGTCTATGCTCTTTCTATGACTCACTGGGTCCATAAAATAGAAAAATAAAGAAAATTTGACATATGACCACTTTCATGTCATCTCTTTCTCCCACATTTCTATTGATCATATCAGATGAACTACAAAAATGAAAGAGAACTGAATGACTTCACAATCCTTGCCGCCTGTCCTTTGTTGAGTACGATGCTGCCTGGCTTTGTGCTTATCGCTTGAAAATCTTTAACTTCAGGTTTAAAAGTTTGCTACTTTTGAAGTAAATCTAATTAATGATGGTCAGATAACATAATGCAGGTACATGAAAAGAGGTCTATGACTCCATCTTCTTATCAGACAGTGCATAAAATCAGTGCAGTGGAGGTACTGCTAAGCAACAAGCGGTAGATATTTACATCCCTCCACATCCCAGGCGGCCGGCAGCGAGTTCGTCCGCCCCCCTCGGCAACTCACTCCAGCCCACCGCTTCGAGCGTCCATGGCGGCAGACTGCTCCGCCATGCTCGATGGCACCGTGGACTCACCACAGTGGCGAGGGATCTCTGGTGTACATTTGAGCTCAAGCAGTTTTGTACTTTGGCACAGATTGCAGCCCTAGACTTAAACGGAAGGGGAAGCTCTATTTTTCAAAATTCAACCACTGTATATCATAAAACTAGCCCTATTTCACCCAACAAGAGCAGCCTCTGCCATCACCATAACTCCCATGAGCCTTCGGTGGATGTAATGACATGGAGGGTCAACGATAAGGAAGAAAAATTGAGTCATGAGGGAATTTGACTGGTTAAAAGGAACATGATGTAAGCTTTATCTAAATCTCAAGGGTAAACAATGTCCATGAGTGAGAGAAGCTTTACACGGCCGCTATGGACACTATAATATGGCTTGCTACTCTTGTCCCTCTCTCAGCCTGTGGGGAATAAGCAGAACAGGACACTATAGAAACTGCAATGACTGCCATCTGCAATGCAGCTAACAAAGATTTTGTGCAGAGAAACAGGGTCTGTAAGTTCACACTTGACTAAACCAAACTGTATGCCTCTTTGACGATAATCTATTTAACACAATGAGAACCTATTTCCATGTATAAGTATGCCCTGGAGCGCAAGTGCCTCTCTTGGCCACACCAGCAGAGGAGGGGTGGCAGCATTAGAAACAACTGTATCTTTATCCATGTTCCCATGGGCCTGACTGATGCCACATCCATCTGTCATCCTGCATCCGTTGCGCCAATTTATGACCTCACACACTGTGTGTGTGAAAGAGAGTTACGTCCTTTAAATTCTGTGTACATCCTCTTTCTCTCTCTCTGTATCTCAGCAGAGAACAACAAGCCAGTCGCCACTGCTCATCTCATTAAGCGAACAGAGGAACAAAAACATTCACGCAGACCAACACGCAGTAATGATTGTAGTTTAAACCTCTCTGCAGGTTAAGAGCTTGATTATAGCGCTTTGGCTGTCAAAAGCCATTTTGGCTCGCAAAAATGGTAAACATGGCAATTTGGGCTTTCTTGTTGATTTGATTCCCACTTGCTACATGGAGTGGAAGAAAAGCAGAGGGAATGAGTTGCTGCTGCACATCCACTGATCATGTGGAGATGAATGTTTAGCGCTCTAGTTGAGTGATTTTCAGTTTCTAGGTTGGACCAGCAAATAAATGCATTTAAGGGATGATGCACAGTCAGCCGTTTTAGCAAAATGAACCCTGACAGATGTGTACTGTTGACTGTATGACTCTCTGCAGGTCTAAAAGGTCTGTAGGATGCACCATTCGGAAATCACTTCCTGAATTTGAAATGAGTTAGTAAACAAAATAAATTATTGCAATATGCAAAAAAGTAAAAATAAATGAATTAAAAATTCAAAGAAATTCCTGTAACTGGATTTTTAAAAAATATAAAATCAAAGTCTGTCAAGACAAGAATGTAGGCAGATGTGTAGAAACACCTAGGAATGGATCTAATTGTCTGGCTGTCTGTGGTTGAGAGGGTGCGCAGGTGTTGGCAGCTTTTTACACTGATAATTTTAAAAATCACAGTTTATGCTCACAGGCTTCCTCTCTGTCACAAACACAAACACACAACTTACCAAGCCAGTACTCTCCGGTGATTTTGCCAAATCCTTCCCTGTAGGAGTCCCACTCCCTGAAGAAGTTCACAGACCCATCCTCCCTCCGCTGGATTACCTGACAAAAAGCAGAAACAGAATATCAATTAACCACAAATTTGTGTCAAAACCTTGTTAGTGGGTTGCATGATAGTAGATGTTAAGTTTTTTCTTTTTTTTTGTTAAACAAATTAACGTCTGAAAACAGGACAATGTTCTGTTGTGTTCTCCTGTATAGCTTGATTCACACAGTAATTGTTTCTCATGGGGACGTAAGAGATTTTCAGCATTTGCAGGGGTTAGTCTATGATTTTATTGCCATCTGAATTCAGAATGTCTGTTTTTTTGACAAACACCAAGGTCATGTGGTAATTTAATTGACGTCTGAATCCACATCTCTGAGTTTACAAGAAGACATCAATTCAAAATTCAGTGTTTAAATGCTTTTTGACCACTGATGAACATGGTAGGGTAACTGTTGCACTTCACTGTAATTTGAATGCATATTTATAAAAAAAAAACTGAAATGCTGGAAAGTATTTACAAGAACAATATTTCAGAACTGCTCTCCCACAGCGAGTGGGAGCTGTTAAGAACAAAAAAGAATGAGAAGAAAAGCACAAACATTTGAAATGAGTAATTATTATGGCAGCTACAGGTATGCAATACAATTTTAAAATATGTATTATATAGGCCTACAATTACATACACAAAAAATATAAACCAAGCAGCTTTATGTTTGCCTTATGTAAATAAGAAGTTGCATTAACTTATTTCTGCTATTCTCCACATTTTTTATGACATTCATAATTTTGAGAGTTAAAATGCAAGACAGAAAACCATTTCAACTATAGTGCATCTATTTTCCTATTTTTAAACAGGAGATTTAAATAATCAAATAATAAATCTGATATTATTAAATATGAATCTATTCTTATTATTCCAAGCATATGATATTTATTAACAGCAGACAATCATGCGACTGGCAAACATGAGCAGTGCATTCTCGGGTTCAAAGGATCACAGAACTTGCTTCTCCACTGTGAATAAATCACCATTCGAATCCATGAGTTTTATCACTGAGGTGCCATGCAATTTATTTTTACATATGTCCACATGAGAAACAATTACCGTCCGAATAGGGCTTGTGATGTATGTGTGTGAGTTCATGTGCTTTTGAATGAAGTAGGCCTACTGTATGATTTCAGGGCTCTTGCTCAGAGTAACTCCATGATAAGTGTGAATGACTAAACTCTCTCAGCAGAGACTGATATGAGACCTGAACAAACATAATGATGGAAGAGCTCAACATTGTGATCTGAAGGATAATATCATTTAATGGAGTATGATTTCTTGAAGTATGATATCTTGAGCTAGTCAAGACTGACACAAAAGAGTAGAACTTACAGAGCTCGTAATCTATTTGCGTATAGACACAGTCATATACTGTACAGAGCCATACAAAAATTTGAGAAAAATTGAGTCATGAGGGAATTTGACTGGTTAAAAGGAACATGATGTAAGCTTTATCTAAATCTCAAGGGTAAACAATGTCCATGAGTGAGAGAAGCTTTACACGGCCGCTATGGACACTATAATATGGCTTGCTACTCTTGTCCCTCTCTCAGCCTGTGGGGAATAAGCAGAACAGGACACTATAGAAACTGCAATGACTGCCATCTGCAATGCAGCTAACAAAGATTTTGTGCAGAGAAACAGGGTCTGTAAGTTCACACTTGACTAAACCAAACTGTATGCCTCTTTGACGATAATCTATTTAACACAATGAGAACCTATTTCCATGTATAAGTATGCCCTGGAGCGCAAGTGCCTCTCTTGGCCACACCAGCAGAGGAGGGGTGGCAGCATTAGAAACAACTGTATCTTTATCCATGTTCCCATGGGCCTGACTGATGCCACATCCATCTGTCATCCTGCATCCGTTGCGCCAATTTATGACCTCACACACTGTGTGTGTGAAAGAGAGTTACGTCCTTTAAATTCTGTGTACATCCTCTTTCTCTCTCTCTGTATCTCAGCAGAGAACAACAAGCCAGTCGCCACTGCTCATCTCATTAAGCGAACAGAGGAACAAAAACATTCACGCAGACCAACACGCAGTAATGATTGTAGTTTAAACCTCTCTGCAGGTTAAGAGCTTGATTATAGCGCTTTGGCTGTCAAAAGCCATTTTGGCTCGCAAAAATGGTAAACATGGCAATTTGGGCTTTCTTGTTGATTTGATTCCCACTTGCTACATGGAGTGGAAGAAAAGCAGAGGGAATGAGTTGCTGCTGCACATCCACTGATCATGTGGAGATGAATGTTTAGCGCTCTAGTTGAGTGATTTTCAGTTTCTAGGTTGGACCAGCAAATAAATGCATTTAAGGGATGATGCACAGTCAGCCGTTTTAGCAAAATGAACCCTGACAGATGTGTACTGTTGACTGTATGACTCTCTGCAGGTCTAAAAGGTCTGTAGGATGCACCATTCGGAAATCACTTCCTGAATTTGAAATGAGTTAGTAAACAAAATAAATTATTGCAATATGCAAAAAAGTAAAAATAAATGAATTAAAAATTCAAAGAAATTCCTGTAACTGGATTTTTAAAAAATATAAAATCAAAGTCTGTCAAGACAAGAATGTAGGCAGATGTGTAGAAACACCTAGGAATGGATCTAATTGTCTGGCTGTCTGTGGTTGAGAGGGTGCGCAGGTGTTGGCAGCTTTTTACACTGATAATTTTAATTAAAAATCATTATGCTCACAGTCTTCCTCTCTGTCACAAACATAAACACACAACTTACCAAGCCAGTACTCTCCGGTGATTTTGCCAAATCCTTCCCTGTAGGAGTCCCACTCCCTGAAGAAGTTCACAGACCCATCCTCCCTCCGCTGGATTACCTGACAAAAAGCAGAAACAGAATATCAATTAACCACAAATTTGTGTCAAAACCTTGTTAGTGGGTTGCATGATAGTAGATGTTAAGTTTTTTCTTTTTTTTTGTTAAACAAATTAACGTCTGAAAACAGGACAATGTTCTGTTGTGTTCTCCTGTATAGCTTGATTCACACAGTAATTGTTTCTCATGGGGACGTAAGAGATTTTCAGCATTTGCAGGGGTTAGTCTATGATTTTATTGCCATCTGAATTCAGAATGTCTGTTTTTTTGACAAACACCAAGGTCATGTGGTAATTTAATTGACGTCTGAATCCACATCTCTGAGTTTACAAGAAGACATCAATTCAAAATTCAGTGTTTAAATGCTTTTTGACCACTGATGAACATGGTAGGGTAACTGTTGCACTTCACTGTAATTTGAATGCATATTTATAAAAAAAAAACTGAAATGCTGGAAAGTATTTACAAGAACAATATTTCAGAACTGCTCTCCCACAGCGAGTGGGAGCTGTTAAGAACAAAAAAGAATGAGAAGAAAAGCACAAACATTTGAAATGAGTAATTATTATGGCAGCTACAGGTATGCAATACAATTTTAAAATATGTATTATATAGGCCTACAATTACATACACAAAAAATATAAACCAAGCAGCTTTATGTTTGCCTTATGTAAATAAGAAGTTGCATTAACTTATTTCTGCTATTCTCCACATTTTTTATGACATTCATAATTTTGAGAGTTAAAATGCAAGACAGAAAACCATTTCAACTATAGTGCATCTATTTTCCTATTTTTAAACAGGAGATTTAAATAATCAAATAATAAATCTGATATTATTAAATATGAATCTATTCTTATTATTCCAAGCATATGATATTTATTAACAGCAGACAATCATGCGACTGGCAAACATGAGCAGTGCATTCTCGGGTTCAAAGGATCACAGAACTTGCTTCTCCACTGTGAATAAATCACCATTCGAATCCATGAGTTTTATCACTGAGGTGCCATGCAATTTATTTTTACATATGTCCACATGAGAAACAATTACCGTCCGAATAGGGCTTGTGATGTATGTGTGTGAGTTCATGTGCTTTTGAATGAAGTAGGCCTACTGTATGATTTCAGGGCTCTTGCTCAGAGTAACTCCATGATAAGTGTGAATGACTAAACTCTCTCAGCAGAGACTGATATGAGACCTGAACAAACATAATGATGGAAGAGCTCAACATTGTGATCTGAAGGATAATATCATTTAATGGAGTATGATTTCTTGAAGTATGATATCTTGAGCTAGTCAAGACTGACACAAAAGAGTAGAACTTACAGAGCTCGTAATCTATTTGCGTATAGACACAGTCATATACTGTACAGAGCCATACAAAAATTTGAGTTCACTTCTATTTAGCTTTTTTTTATTTTTTTATCTATATAACCAGTTTGTGTCACTTTGAATAAAAAGTTAATTTAAAAAAAGAACAGGAATGTCAGAATGACTCAGTAACTGGCCTGTCTCCCTTTTGCCTTAAATGACAGGAGCACTTGAACTGCATGAACTCACACATTTGTGTAAAAATCATGAAGTAAACTAAAAACAGCAACTTAAAATGTCGGATCGACATCTTATATTGGAACAAAGCAATCCAGGTTGTTGAAGGATAAAAACATGTTTACAGTGAAGTTCATTTTGCCAGTATACAACAAGCAAAGAAGGAGGACAGTTGAATTAGAGTTCAACTTTAAGCAAGAAGGACATTAAAGACGATGCGTCTTAATAAAGCGCAATAGTGGATGTGCACAGAATAAAATGTTCAAAATGTGCCAACCCATAATGAGTCTGTCAAAATCGCTGACACTGGCTTTGGTTGTGGCTGTGTGAGATTTTATGTGTTTTTTTTTTATGGCACAGAAGGGCATTCAGTGCAATATGGTAATCAGAAACAACACTCAGGGGTCTGTGTTTGTTCTTCTGCGTTATCTGTAATCTCTCCGGGATTACCAAATATGGATGCAAATGGCAACCACATCACTGAATGTCTGTTTATGGAAAACACATTGCGTCTAACGCATTACATTTCTCCTATCATAGTAAAATGCATGATCAGTTGAATTCATAAGCAGGTGGACTTTGTTTTCTGTTGAAATTCAGAAGAGAAGTGAGACGGGGAGGGAAAGGGGTCAATCCAGTACAGGATGACAGCTGTCAGTTATCTTAAAGGTTTTGCTCTCTCCCGTATCACTCCCACCCTGTAGCTGCCCTAGAGGCTCCTGGGAGATCAACCCTGCCTGCACAGAACTGAGGCAGACACCACTGTCAAGGTTGAAATTACACATGCATCCACACACACATACAATCATGCCTGGGTATTATCTTGCTTTTTTTCCACATATTTAAGGCAGGCAAGTAGTGAAGGTCAAAGGGGCATCGACCATCACTGTCTAACAACAGTGTCAGCAGAGGCAGAGAATCAGACAGAGCGAGAGAGGGAGTATTAAAGGTGAAATCAGAATCGGTCGACCCCTTTCTCACTGTCCCTGTCACCTAACAGCTTTCAGGAATGAAGCAATATCTCTCCAACAAATGCAGGTAAAAAAACAACGGCTTTTATTCGTAATGTTAAACCTTTACTTAAAATGTTTGTGGTTAGTTTCCCTTATTTTTAAAGGGATAGATAAAAAAAAACACTGTGGAACTAAAAATAAAAAAAAATGTTTCAGTTGTTTTTGTCTATGCTGAAAAATCAAAAGAAATCAAAACTTTCAAGCTCCTAAAAAAAAGATATACATTTAAAATTAATTCCAAAAGGCTTGAGTGGTATATTGGTATAAAATCTTCTACAGTGACACAATCACTTTGAATATGAACAGTCAAAATGTAATTCACTCTCAATTTCAAATTAAACAATGACCAATGCACAGATACATAAACTTTGTAAAATATGGCTACATAAACCTCAAATGTCACCATGCTTAATCATGTGAAGTGAGAAAAGATGTTTGCCATTACTTTGAGGTTTGTGTTGCCATATTTGATGTAGTCAATGTAAATTTCATTCTGTTCTTCATGAAGAATGCACCAGTTGGGTCATATGAATTACATTTGATCCTTTTTGGAGCTTGAAATATTTGTATTAACAGTAATATGCACAAAATTATTTAAAATTATGTTATTAGAGATGAGTGGATCCTGTAAATTGTAGGGATTTCTAGTACATGAACGGACACTGATATGCCCCTATCAGCCATCATGAGGTTTGCTAATCACCCCAGCACATGACTCCAATATTCTGGGTCGACTTCCTGCCAGTCTTGTCGTCATCTACTCAGAGGAGTGATTAAAGACTAATTCAATCAGGAGAGTAGGACCATAAATATGAATGTAATTTCACACACAGCTATTAATAATAATTCACTCTACACATATGAGGAAAATGTTAGTTTGTAGTCTCTATCTATTATTAAGGTGGGAAAAAAAGTCACAGGATGGCTCAATGAGCTGTTTCATGTCATTCACACAATTAAAAGACTTGACGTCACCTCATATAATATTAGCCTCTTGACACCCTGGTGTTTACAGTAATTGATCCGAAACCCTTACAGTGCAGTGATCTGTGAATCTTGCCCTGTGGTCTTTGTGTCATGACTGTGCCATTTCAACGCAAACGACAAACTGCACCCAAAATGTCAGTCGCTGCCGACCAGACTAATTAAAAATTCTCTTTTAATTAAAGTCCCCACCGAAGGATTATAGCTGCTGAGGGCATTGCTGTGGTGGTGTCTGCTCTGTGTGGTTCTTCAGTACAGAGCCTTTCTGAAATCAATATAATTTTCTTGCACATGATAAAAAAGCGAAAATGATTGGTCCTCGCTCAAGAAGGGCTCTGTTGTGTTTGCTTATAGCAAGTCAGTTCCTGAAGTGCTACTTGACATTTGATGTGTCACTTGGGTTATGGCTTTTACATTCCTCAGAGAATAAAAATGAAAAATTAAGCCTGCATTATTAAAGTTTTGAGTTTATTCCATTCATTAAATATCCAGAAGACCCAAGTCATGAATTCACGGTTAAAATTATAATTTGTGTGATTATAAAAGGTGAATTATTATTTAGTTTTCATTAATAGCTGTGTCCAATAAAACTGAACTTTAGATAATTTTCCTGGTCTTACATTTAGCCTAGAGATTCACTCGTCTTTAATAAAAATAACTGAAATATGGGCTCTGTTCTTACTGGGCTGTCAGTAAGAGGGAGGAAAATGAAGTCACTTTTTATCAGTTTGAACTATTCGTTCATCTTGAATTCCTCACACTTCCATCTGTCAATGTTACTTATCTTCACAGTTATTGTAGACCAGTAACCAGTCTCACTTGAATTGTGAGAATCCAGCTTACATATTGCATTCACTTGTAAATCCTTTGTATTCCTAAAACAACATGATTTCAAAACAAAATAACAAAATCAATAAAAAACATATTATTTATAACTAAGACTTGTCTGTTAGGTTAAACCTGTAGATACATTGTTCAAATTTAATACAAAATATATATGGGCACTTTCTGATCCCCAAATGTAAATAAATCATTCTCAATGTGATGAATAGGTTACCTATCTCTACTCTTCTAGAAGACCTGTGTGAATTTAAAAAATCAGCTTGAGATTAGTAGGTTACAAATCATTTAAAAAATGGCTCAGAAAAACATTATTCTGACATAATTTGTTTAGCAAATGCCACTTGATTTCATATTTAATGTGACATTCAGACTTTCAGTATTTTTGGGCCACTCTAAGATACATTTCTTTTTCTTGTTTTTGGAAAAATGTATTCATTTTAAAGTTTAGTGAATCTTATCATAATGCCCTCCTGAAAATGTGTGTGTAGATTTTACCTCAAGTTCAAGAGCAAATGGCTAGTCAAAAGACAGCACAAGACATTTTGATTTATCGATGTCTCTAAAACTGGATTACAAACTGATTTCTACAGACTTTGGCCTTCATCAGCCTACCGCCAGCAAGATTACAAATAAAACATATTCAGCACTGCTGCTTCTCTCCCTAGGAACTGGAGCCATAC